GCTACACTTGTAAAATTTCAGAAAAAGTTGGTTACTAACTTTTTCATTGGAACGTTGGTAAAATCATTTTAAGGTTTGTAAAATTTGATGAGCCACTGTGACCCATCTTAACGCCTCCAATGATCCAGAGCATGACTACCCCTGAAGCACTGTATCAACTTCCACGAAATATTTAAAGACAAAAGTACGATGCATATGAAATGCTGATGAAAAGTGGCAATACATCTCGACAATGAATAGTGTGACCTGCTTTATTTACCTTTGATGGGAATCGTGAATCCTTCCGACTTTGTGGCCAAAGTGATCGACTGATCGGAGCATTCTTTTCATGAACCAAATTTTCTCTGCCGTAGGAGTGCCATGAACATATAAAATTCCGATAAGTTGCATCCCTGAACGTCTTAATTCCTGGAGCTCTATGATCTCCACAAGTTCATGCGAAATTGACCCCCCATCATTCCATTCAATCTTCGAAATTCAACCAATGTGGAGGCCTTGCGGTTGAATCACTCATTTTACGATCTGTCCACAAATTTGACTTTCTCTAGGCCCACGAACATCACAAAGATTCCAACACTTTCCAACGCACAAAAATTCCAGCTTATCGAAGCACAAAGGTCTGGTAATGTTTCAATGGATTTGCTCCCCTCGATATCCAATCTTTCCAAGTTTTTCAACCTCTCAAGGCCTTTAATTTCGATTAGATTGTGGCAATTGCTAGCCATCAATAGCTTCAGACGTGTTAACTGCAAGAGGTCCGGTCTTATGAGGGACTGGCAGCTATAGATTGTCAGCTCTTCCAAGTTTTTCAATCTGTCAAGGCCTTGAAATAGATCATCATTCACTATTGGACCATCTAACTGTAAATGTTTAAACAACTCCCTGCGTGTAGATAAGTCTATCCCCACCATTCCCAAGCATCTCAAGGACTCCAGATGTTCAAGGCCATCTAGGTTGGACAACTTGTTGCATCCAAATACATATAGCTCTTTTAAGGATTTTAATCCTTTCAGATCCTTGATTTCTGTCAGCTCCTGGCACGCTTCGATACCTAATATTGACAAGAGTTCCAAACTCGACAAACTTGGCAACTCTTTCAACTTATAACACCCGGAGACAGAGCTTCAATATTCCCGAGGGAAGCTAAGCAATTTGTAATCATGAAAACTGAGCTGTTTTAGATGGATTAGATGAGAAAGTTGAGGCAATGTGCGAAGATGACAGGTGGTTACTAGATCTGTTAAACTGGTAGGAAGCTTCGGTAGCAACCGAATCATGCTGCAGTCCTTTAAATCAAGTTCTTCGAGACAAGAAAGCTTCGCAGTTGCATCGGGGAAGTCATAAATGCACGTATAACTTAATCGAAGGATCTTCAATGAAGACAACCCATCTACAGGAACTTCCCCTCCTAGACTCAACTAAACAATTCGAGAGATGGGTGCAAAATGACTGACCCCCCTCCCCCCTCCAAACATCGAGAACCCAGATAAAGACATTCACTACATAGAACTGCGGAAAAACTGAGGATGGACATCATCGACACGAAAGCAGTTTAATTGCACGGATGACACAGAGAGAAAAGAGCAAGAAAAAATGGTCGTGGAAGAAACAAACTGAAGTCCCAGCGTTCGTGGAGATCAAAGAGAACCACCAGCGAGTCATGTAGCGAAGAATCCACCAGTTGTTCAGGCGACGGAATCCCCCGCAGCGAGTCGTAAGCGAGGAATCACCAGCGCACCAGTTGTTCGCGGGGGCTCGAATTCTAACGCATTTTATGTCATCAATCATTTCCTTGGAAATTCCATTTTCCTGAGTTTAATAATAAAGTTTAAGCGAGGGCAAGCAAAATTTTGATAATTAGTGGAAGGGAACTTACATACAGATTTTTCTAAAAGCTTGCTCTCGCAGTACAAATAAGGACATGAAATCGATCTCGTCATTTATTGATCTGGTCGTAATTTTAAAATCAAAGCACAGCATATTTACCTGTAAGTTACCTAATATGATATAACATGATTAGCACGTCTAGAAAATGAACCCTACCATATAAATGCGCAAGAGTTTTATTTAGACATCTATAGAGTTTGCTTAAATACATGTTGATCTGTGCAACTAAAATGCAGTGTCATAAACATAATAAAATTAACATAAGACGAAACTATCTTTGATGTAAAATAACAAAGAATGGATGTAAGAGAGGGGAGAAAAATACAAGAGAAAATTAGAAAACATAGAAAAGATAGGCAAATAAAGAAATTCAAGGAAAAGCAAGAAAAAAAAGGGTAAAGAAGGTTAGAGAGAAGGTAACTCGATGTCAATTCAATATTTAATCAAGAAATATTGACATAAGTGGCCTATGAACTTTGAATCTATTCAATATAGTCCCCGAAATTTATCCCTATGTACAATGTGGTCCTTAAACTTTCGACATATGTTCAATTTAGTCCATGAACTATACGTAAATGTTCAATATTGGCATTTCATTAATTTAAATTCAGGGATAACATTGAACATTTTCATGCAGTCTATGGATTAAATTGAACATGCAACAAAAGTCTAGAGACCACAATGAATAATTAAAGTCTATGGACCACGTTGCATATTGAACTAAAGTTCACGGATCATATTGAACAAATTAAAAAGTTCAAATATCATATTTTATATCGGGTCAAAGTTCAGAGATTATTTAGGGCAATGACATGTAAGGTTCAAATGGTGCATGTTAAAGTCTCGCGCAACGAGCAAGCGATGGATCAAGTTGCCGATTAGTTCAATTGCTAAGAAAGAATATATGATCCCACTGAATAGCATGAAAACCGATTTAATTATGCAGTGTCCCATTTCCAAACAGACGAGGGAAATAAATTATGTACCACTTGATCAGCATCAAATTCCCAAAAGCCAATTAGTAGCATGCACCTTTGATTTATTATAAATCGTGGACAGAGTCTCCAAGCGAAAGAATGGAGAAAATCCTAAGCATGTACAAGCAATACGGTACCTGCCTTTGCACGTGAGACTCTGATAGACAATATAATGACTTTGGACTATAACTACAACAACAGGATACAGCTTGTTCGAATTTCCCCTCATTTATCATGTTGCTCATCCACAGCATCCAAAAAGTCAGTGAACCGACGGGTCACCCTCGACTTGCAGTTATTTTGATCAGAGAGAGAGTGCCCTACACCTTGAACACAATCTTCTGACTCTTTCTCGTGGACTTTTTGGTAGGCGATCTTCACCAGTAGTCGCCGCAAGAACATTTCCCATCCCTGAAATGATGGAATCTCCTCACATCCCTTAAAATGATCTCCCTCTCCTCTATCTTGGAGATAAACTTGGTAGCTGTGTGACAGTCGTTGCATACTCTGAGGTTCTTGGCAACTCTGATGGTCATTCCCGGAGGAGTGTTGAGGATACCAAAAGCTATAGCAAGCTTCTCACTGTGTCCACAAAGTAAGGCCTTTTTTTCCTCAAAGGCTTTTAAATTCGATTAGATTGTGGCACTTGCTAGCCATCAATAGCTTCAGACGTGTTAATTGCGAAAGGTCCGGTCTTATGAGGGACTGTGATATGAATCTGTGCGGAAGATGATCGTTGTACAAAGATCTGTGAGTTACGAATTGCTGACCTCGACCCCCAATCGAACCTGTGATTGGTAATCTCGGTATGAACGCGACCTGTTGACGAACCTGTGTCAACCAATCCACGCTATAACGCCACGAACAAGAGAATTCGCGATCTTGCTCGATAAGTTGAATTCGATCGCTACAAGGGAACCTTGATAAGATTTAGTCCTCAAAAGAAAGAAAAATTCTGTATATAAAATTCTGCCTCCTCCTCTTAGAAATCTATAAGCAACCTTATATAGGGTGCTAACCCTAATCCTAACCCTACTAGGATTAAAATTACAAAAATAACCTTAATTACTAAAAATTCGTCCAAAAATAGAAAAAAGGCCTAAAAGTTCATCTAAACAACTCCAAATCGCTAAAAAACGTCATCAATCACTACTAAAGTAGTGAGTATTGATCAGCGGCCCGTTTCCAATTCTAATTCGGAGTTCGGAGTTCGTCAATTCTAAGCTCCTTTGGAATTCGCTGGACCAAGAGTAATCATGTTGCGCCAAGGAGCTTCAGAATCTTCAAGTTTCGAATCTAGATTGTCTCCATTCCAAATATCTTGAACTATGATGCCGACAGCTTGTTTGAATTCCTTCGCTCTCGCTCGAGTGATCGGACCTAGCGGATAGAACAACGGGTCCCTAGCACCTCCTCCTCGATAGGGTTCGATGTCCACATCAGACTGGCATCTATAAATTGTCAGCTCTTCCAAGGTTCTCAATCTGCCAAGGCCTTGAAATAGATCATCATTCACTATTGGACCATCTAACTGTAGATGTTCGAACAACTCCTTGCGTGTGGATAAGTCTATCCCCACCATTCCCAAGCATCTCAAAGACTCCAGATGTTCAAGGCCATCTGGGTTGGACAACTTGTTGCATCCAATTACATATAGCTCTTTTAAGAAATTTTAATCCTTCAAGACCCTTGATTTCTGTCAGCTCCTGGCACGCTTCAATACCTAATATTGATGAGAGTTCCAAACTCGACAAACTTGGCAACTCTTTCAACTTATAACACCCGGAGACATAAAGCTTCAATATTCCTGAGGGAAGCTCTCGCATAGATTCCGGCAATTTGCAATCATGAAAACTGATAAATGGAGTAGATGAGAAAGTTGAGGCAATGTGCGAAGATGACAGATGATTCCTAGATTTGTTAAACTGGTAGGAAGCTTCGGTAGCAACTGAATCATGCTGTGGTCCTTTAAATCAAGTTCTTCGAGACAAGAAAGCTTCGCAGTGGCATCGGGGAAGCCAGAAATGCACGTATAAACTTAATCGAAAGATCTTCAATGAAGACAACCCATCTATAGGAACTTCCCCTCCGAGACTTCGGCAGAATGAGGCAATTAATACTTCTAATAGTACTGGGTAAACTACTCAATTTCTTGCAGTAAACAATATTCAAAATTTCAATTTTTTCAAATCCCTAATGGATTTAGGTAATTCTGAAATTTCTGCACTAGACAAAATCAGTTCGGTCAATGATTCATCACACCTTACTTTGCTGGCTGGTGCTAGCGGCCTTTGAGCCTGTGCCATAAGTGAAACTTGCTTGCACTGCTTACAGCACGCCCTTCTACATCCAGGACTCACAATTTCTATTGTGAAGTGTTCCCAGATGATGGACTTCTTTTTGCTCCGCTTGTTGGGCTGTGTTTCAAGAGTTTTCACATCGTTGTTTTCATCTGGGGTTGCCATCTTCTATCTAAAAACAGATTGCTGCCCAATAAAGTCAGAGATAAAACAAAAAAAGAAAAAGACAGGTATTAAAGAGGAGATTTAGAATATTGTGACGGCATGAGGCAAGATATATTAGAAAAATCACTGATGAATGGACTGGAACCAAATATTAGAGTAAGATGGACAGAAGATCTGTACAAGGATTAAAAATCTTTTAAAAAAATTGAACAATGGTGGCCAATCATAGGGAATTGATAAATTAGCTTTCAATATGATGATGAGGGTTTAGAGACGTTTAGCTAGCAACAAAACATCAGTTTCCCCTTTGTATTGCATTATGTAGGTCAGGGATCCAAACTATGGTGAATGTTCCTGCATAAAGTCCAGACCAAAAGCACTCCAAAAACCAGAAGGCAGACTACACGGGTACCTGCATTTTATACTCAGGAAACACAATCTAGCAGTAGCTTTAACATTCGATACCTCATCTCACTGATCCAACATGAGTTATCTTGGTTGGTGGTTGGTGATCTGTGTGTCAAGAAAGAACCAACTTGCGTTGGCCTGTCTTAGTTATAGAATTCTAACTCTCGATCTAGCTGAAAAGTGCAAACAACAGTAGGCTAATGAATCTTTTTCACAAGCTAATTTAAATTCTCAAAGTCAACTTACACGCAATCATCAAGTGCAGCCAAAGAACTTACATCTGAATGGAAAGGAAGGGAACTACACAAATCACCTGAGTCTCCTAGATATATCAAACACGAAAAAGCATCCAAGCAGAGAGAAAGGTATTGAACAAAGGGAAAACTCCAAGCATATCCCAATAACAGAGAACTAACCGAGACAAAAAGTGAAAATACCGTGATTGCTAATGCCCTTTTTTCAGTCGTTGAAATAGAAGTAAAAGCTTAAAGGTATCCACTGGTATCAGACTTGCACATACCACTTTTCACTTTTCAGTCAATTAAAAGATTTCAGAACGTACCATACAAAATTCATTAAAAAGTCTGCCAGCATGCACTACGAATTGAGCGAGGGGCGGTTGCTCTTTAGAAATCCTCGATAACTCATGGAACAAGCAGACACGCATGTTGTGATTCCTCTCCACCAATAAGTGTATGCCCAAAAAAAAAAAAAACAAGCACAAAGGGAGCAAAATTTAGCCGATGAGTACGAGCAAAATTTAACTGATCAATGGAGTACCAACCAAATTCCCAATGCCCATGTTGAAAGACTCGAACTTTTTGTAAGAATAGGGTCCAAAGCTATCAAACCTCCATCGAGCAAGTCACACAGCGTCTCCACCTTCGAATCGAATCGGCCATGGTTGGGTTGGTGGTCGGAGCTTTCTTCCTGGTGGCAGAACCGCCGTCCGGTCCGGTCGCACGCCGCCAGCGCCACCGGACGTCGGCCCAATCACGGAGGTCAGACGAAAGACACAATCGAAACAATTTTTGAATTTGGGGGCGAAGGCATTGCGTGATCCGGAGTTTTTCCTTTCAACCCTCATCGCCGCCGCCGCTCCTCCTTTTGTTGGATGAATGTTGCTGCTGCTGCTGTTGAAGAGCGAGTAATTGGAGCTCCTTCTGGCTGATGAGAAGCACCATTCTCTCGTTCTCCAGCCCTCTTCCGCTCGTTCTCGAGCTTGGCTCTCTCCATCTCCATCTCCATCTGGGTTCCATCAACGAATCTTGAGTTCACCTCCATCCCATCTTCCAAAACGCCGGAGATTCAGACTGAATGGGCCGGCCCATGATTACGTGGAGAGGCCGGGCCTGCACCAATATTTTCTCGCGAGGCGGCTACCAAATTTTGTGGGCACGCTTGCACATGGAGAGAAAAATGGACGTGGGAGACGTGCGCACGGGCCCTTCAAATTTCCTCTTTCTTTGTCTCTTGAATAAGCGGAACCATGCGCTGCGGATCTGTCCCACTTCATTTAATAGGCCCAAATCTTGGTGTTCTTGTACCCCACGGATTTAATCGTGCGATACACGATGGGTCGATATTCATATCAACTGTAGACAAAAACATAGCAACCGTTCTCATCGATACACATGGGGACCAATTCTTCCTCGAGGTCTTTAATTTCAACTAGATCGTGGCATTTTGCGGCTCTTAAAAACTTCAGATGTGTTAATTGTGAAAAGTTCGGTCTTATAGGGGATTGGTACCTATCGAAAAGCAGCTCCTTCAAGTTTTTCAATCTGTCAAGGCTTTGAACTTGGAATAGATCATCAATCATCAATCATCAATCACTAGTGAAGCATCTGACTCGAAATCACACAATTCCAAACTTCTCAAAGACTGTAGGTGTTCAAGGCCATTGAGGTTGGACAACTTCCTGCATGTCGATACTTCTAGTTTTGCTAAGGATTTTAGTCCTTTCATACCCTTGATTTCTATCAGCTCATTGCACCCTTTGATACGTAATTTTGACAAGAATTCCAAACTCGACAAACTTGGCAACTCTTTCAACTTATAACACCGGGAGACAACAAGCTTCGATATTCATGAGGGAAGCTCGGGCATGGATTCCAGCAATGCGCAATGTTGAAATATGGGCTCTTTTAGTTGAATTAGGTGCGAAAGTTGAGGCAATGTGCGATTCTGACAAGTGACTCTTAGAACTGTTAAACTGGCGGGAACCTCTGGGAGCGATTGAAAATCACAACAACTAGTTAAATCAAGGTGTTGCAAAGAAGATAGCTTACTGATGCTTTGAGGCAACGATTGAATCATGTTGCAGTCCTCTAAATCAAGTTTTTGGAGAGGATAACGCTTCCTAATTGTGTCGAGGAAGCCAAAAATGCATGTATGACTTAATCGAAAGATCTTCGGTGACGACGACCCATCTATATAGCAACTTCCCCTCCCAGCCTCTGGCAAAATGAGGCATCTAATTCTTCAAGTTTGCCTAACTTGTTAATGGTACTGGGTAAACTACTCAATTTCTTACGGTAAGCAATATTGAAAATTTTCAAGTTTTCCAAATCCCCAACGGATTCAAGTAATTCCGAAATTTTTGCATGTGACAAGTTCAGTTTAGTCAACAATTCCAACTTTCCAATTGGATGGGGGATATGACACAAACAATAATCAACATCCGAATTATCATCGTCCAAATTATCATCGTCCGAATTACCATCATCCAAATGATCCACATTCGAATGATCATCATCATCCGAATCATTCGAATACGCATAATAAGATGGAAGATCCATATGGCATAATAGCAGGCACTTCAATTTCATAAGGGATCCGATGCTCTCTGGAAGTCCCTCTAAAGAGAGGCAACGCCTCAAGTCAAGGGTCAACAAATTTAACAAATGGTTAATTGAGTTTGGAAGCCCAACCAATGATTTGCAATTACGGGCATTAAGAATCTCCAGCTTCTTCAAAGAACCTATACATGGAGGAATTTTCTTTATAGCAGTACTGCCTATTATAAGTTCTTTCAGTTCTTTCAATTTGCCCATTTCTTGGGGTAGCTTTTGGAGTTCGGAACATCCCCACAAGTCCAAAGAAACAAGGCCCTTCAATTCACCCAGCTGTGAGGGTAACTTCTCGAGACTCACACAACGCCTCAAGTTCAAGGAAACGTGACACTTGACATCTCCAATGGAAGGGTCGATTTCCTCCAAATATACACAACCTTCCAGAATTAACATCTTTAAATTTTTGAACGCCAAGAGATTAGGGGTGCTCCGTAAATTGAAGCACCGCGAAAGATTGAGAATTTTCAATCTCTCCATCTACAAGAAAGAAACATGTTCCAAGATTAGCGGTTGGAAATAGACTGATTTATCATCAAATGCAACAAAAGAGAGCTTTTCTCATCTTTACCTTGATTGAACTCCATCCTCTCCAATTTTCACTAATATAATTTTCACTAATATCACCATTTGATAAATCAAGTATGATTGATTTTTCCAAATGAACTTTAGTCGCTTTGAAAGAGTCAAGACAACTCTCCCACTTTAGCCATCTTAATTTAGAAAGTGATCCTTTGAAATCTCCATCACATCATTCACACGAAGAAACTTCAGGTTACGCATTCTTTTGGAGCTCTCTCGCTCCATGAACTCTTTGGAGCCCCTTTCGTCCAGACGTAGTGCCTCAATTGTTTCGTTTTCCTCCTAAAAAAAATAAGGATTGTAAATACCACCCAACCGCCTTTTGTTGGTATACTCTGCATCTTGTTGTGGCCCATGCATTTTGTCTACACTTAGGAAAAACAAATATATGTGATCTTTTATAATTTGTTAAGTCACGTGGGCTTTCCCCCTCCTCTCTTTCTTTTTATTTTATTTATTATTTTATGGTTGTTTATTGGTGTTTAGGGCTTGGCCCATCTAATGTATTTTAAATAGAAGAAGTGTGTCAAACCTAGTGACACACCGTATTCTCTCTAACGCCGCTCTCTTCTCTTCTTCTTCTTCGCCATTTTCATGGTATCAGAGCAAGGGTTTGTTTCATCCATTGTTTTGATTGGCCCTCACCTTCTTCTCCTTCTTCTTTTCTTTTTTTTCTTTTCTTCTATAATGGACATACAACATCATGGCTTCTGAGCCATAGATTTGTGCAGCCTGCCCAGTGGTGTAGGCTGGTCTCCTTGTTCCGGTCCAGGGGTGCCGGTTTCTTTGCGTAGAGACCTAGCAAGTGTCTCCCTTTTCTTTTGCAACAACAATGGCAGGAGATGATCGACAGAAGGAGGTGAAGACGGGTGATGTTTCTACGAGCTCCAGCAGTACCGAGGGTGTTGTCTCTTTCCCAACGAGACTGTCCGATGAAAAATTGGAAGGAGCCCTAAATTTTCAGATTTGGCGAAAAACTATTCTTGTCTGTTTAAAAGGTATGGGTAAGGCTAAATACTTGACTGATTTGCCTCCTGAGTCTACCGACCCTAATTATTTGAGTTGGGAGATTGAAGAGAACCCTATCTTCGGACTTCTTTTAAATTCCATGGATCGCAAAGTTAAGGTTATGATTGCTAATTGTCCGACGGTTCGAGATGTGTGGAATCGTTTGGCACTACTATATTCAAACACCAACAACAAATCTCGTGTGTGTGATGTGTTGAAGAGATTATTTCAACTCAATCAGGAGGAGCGGCCTATTCAAGAGTTTTATACTGAGTTTCATGCCCTGTTTGATGAACTTGATTTGTTGTGGCCGATTCCAACTAGTCCTGATGAGATGATTGCACAGAGGGAGCAGCTTGGTGTTATGTGTTTCTTGTCGGGTCTTCATCCCGGACTTGAGCCAATAAAAAATCAGATCCTCTCCGAGAGGGTTCCCATATCTATTTCTGAGGTCTATAATCGGCTAAGTAGTGTTACCATTGGGGCTCATACTCCGTCTGTGCAACCAGAATCTAGTGACAAATCCGCACTGTTCTCTTTTTCTAGGAGTGGTGGATCACGTGGTGGTCGTGGAGGTCGTGGTGGCCGTGGTGGCCGTGGAGGCCGCGGTGGTAGTAAGGACCAACGTGTTTGTCATCATTGTGGTATGCCCGGTCATCTAATGAGCAACTGTTATAAGTTGCACGGTTATCCGAGTAGTAACAAGGTGGCTAATGTCTCGGCACTTGCATCTTCTGAGATCCAGGAGTCCTCTCCTGTTTCCGAGAGGAGAATGATTGAGATGACTGATGAGGAGTTTGCACGGTATACTCAGTTTCAGGTGGATGGGCAGGCTTCTACTGCTACATATGCACAGACAGGTAATCATACAGCATGTGTTTCCATGTCTCGTGGCAAATGGGTTGTTGATTCAGGTGCTTCAGATCACCTGACAGGAACAGTAGGTAATCTCACAACCTATTCCTCTTCATCACATGTTAGTGCTATTACTGTGGCGGATGGCTCTTCAGCAATTGTAAAAGGGAGTGGGACTTCTAGTCTTACATCAAATTTAACATTATCTTCTGTGCTTTATGTTCCAAAGTCACCTTTTAATCTACTATCGGTTAGTCAGATCACAAAACAATTGAATTGTTCAGTCTCATTTTTCCCTGATGGTTGTGTTTTTCAGGATCTTTTGACGAGGAAGGCCATTGGTAGAGGAAGGGTCGAAGGAGGAGTCTATGTTATTGAAGCCACACCACCGTCAGTAGCCTGCTCCACCACATTCCCTAGTCCATATGAGATTCACTGTCGTCTTGGCCATCCAGCTCCTACCACCCTCCAGAAGTTATATTCTCAGTTTAAGAACGTTTCCTTTGAATGTGAGTCATGTCAGTTTGCTAAGCACCATCGTGTGTCTTATTTTCCTAGAGTCAATAAAAGAGTCTCAACTCCGTTTGAGTTAGTCCATTCAGACGTATGGGGTCCTTGTCCTGTCCTGTCAAAGCTTGGCTTCAAATATTATGTAACTTTTGTTGATGACCATTCACGGATGACATGGGTCTATTTAATGAAAAATCGTTCTGAGGTGTTCCAAATTTTTTGTGAATTTTATGCTGAAGTTCGAACTCAATTCTCCACTTCTGTTAAGTGTTTGCGCAGTGATAATGGTCGGGAATATTTATCACATCAATTCATGTCGTTTCTTTCCCGTAATGGTGTTGTCCATCAAACTTCTTGCCCTGATACACCTCAACAAAACGGTGTAGCAGAACGCAAGAATAGGCATCTGTTAGAGGTTGCTCGTGCTCTCTTGTTCCAAAGACAATGTCCCTAAGTCATTCTGGG